CCCATCCCACCCCTGGCCAAGGCGACATAGAAGGTGGCTGCAGTTGTTTATCGGGGGTGGGGGAGGGGCACCTCCCAGTCTTGGGAGTGTCCACTGGGTCCCCTCGCTGACCTCTCCACCCTTCCCCCCAATCCCTAAGCACCCAGCATGTCCCATCCTCTACCAGAGGGACTCTGTGTAACTCCCAGGCTCCGAGGGGGTGGTACAGGTGAGTTAGCAGAGAAGAGTAACGAGGTGATGGTCTCTGTCCCCCAAGCCCTCCGTGCTTTGGCTCTCTGTCCCCTTCTGTCTGGGTCTCTGTCTCCCCGTCTGGGTCTCTAGCTCTCCCTTCTCTCTGGTCCCCGCGTCTCCGCGGTCTGTCTTCCTCTCTGAGTCCCTGTCCCCCTCTCTCTGAGTCTCTGAACCCCTCCCAGGCCGCTGCCCTGCCCTCTCCTGCTCCCGCAACAACCCCTCCCTCGCCCACCCCGTGGCTGTCTCTCTTTGCCTCTGTCTCTGTCCTCTCTGTAGGTTTGGTTCCTCTCTGCCTGTGTCTCCTCTTCGGATCTCTGTGCCGAGCTCTCTGCTCGCTCCCGAGACTGCCTGGTGTCTGTCACCGTCAGGGGATCTGTCTTCATTTCTGTCTCCAGATGTGCCTTTTTCCGCTTCAGAGAGAAGTGACAACCTTTATCAAACTCTTCCCACAGTTGTACTTTCTCTCTCTCTCTATAAAAGGGTGGTTGGATTAAATCAGGGGTTTCCACCGAGTTTCTTAGCTGCATTCGGAGTTGCCGAGAGGGATTCTGGAAGAGGTGTGTTCCCCTTGAACCGGCTCCCTTCTGATGCGTTGCCCTGGTGCCTCTAAGTAAGATTTAATTTGACCAGTAAAAAGAAGGGGGGGTATAGCTAAACAATAACAACAACAACGAACAACAACACCGTAAACCACTGGATGGGTTTTAATAAATTAATACAAGTAAAGTACCTCGAATGATGCCTGGCACATAAGAAGTCCTATATGTTAGCGATTTTTAACCTTCCTCCCGATCCACCTCACAATGCCCTTCAGTACTGAAAGGCCTCTGAAAATGTTTGGTTTCGCGACCTTCGGCAACACCCTCCCCTCTGAGCCTCAGTCTCTTTGCTCGCGAGGCTGTTTGGACTCAGAGGTCCCGTGCGTACCAGCAGGCTGACGGGACACGTGGGATCAGGCAGCCTGCCACAAGTCCTGGCCCCCGGTGTCGGGCTGCGTGACCTTGGGAAGTCGCTCTCATGCTCTAAGACTCTGGTTTCTCCCCGTGGGTCTGACAGCCTTCCTGGGCTGTGACAGGACGGGGTGGCGTGCCCCAATTTGGGGAATCTCTTCGTGATTCGTGGAGTGGAGACTCTGCATCTCTCTCGGGCTCACAGGCACTGCCTTTTTCTGCCTTTTCCTCTTTTGGGTCCCTTTTTTTCTGGGGCACTCTGGTCTGCCTCCAGCCCTGGGTGTCTGTCCCTCTCTCTCTGGGTGCCTGACACCCCTCTCTGGGTCTCTGTCCCCCTTTCTCTTTGGATTTCTGTCCCTCTCCCTCTGGGTCTTTGTCTGCCCCCTTCCCTGCCCCTTGTAGCCCTGATCTCCATGCCTGAAAGCAAAACCACAGGGGAAGACAGACAGCGAGGGGGGTTGAATAGCAAAATGAGACAGGCTTGGGGTGGATGGAAAGAGTATCTGCATCTTCCTAGCTGACCCAGAGGCCCTTTTCATAAACAACTGAATCTACAGATGCAGAACCCAGCCCCGCCCCTTACAGTGAGTGACGCTGGGCGAGACAGTCAGGTTGGTCTCCCACTGCACCCGCGTTCCCTCCCTGGCACATAATTCCTTCCCGCTGCTGTTATCCTTGGGTCGTGGTGCTACCACTACGTGCAAAACAAACCAGCACGGCCCTATGGAGCTCATACGCACAGTCCGACTCAACCCTACATTCCTACGGGACTCACGGTGACACTCACAGCTCGATGTAACTCAGCTCGGCATGGCCTTACGAACAGGCGCTACGAGACTCACATGACCACAGTTCAATACGGCTCAACTCGAAGTGGCCCCGAAAAAACTTCCGGCCACATATCCCGCCCTGAAATCCAACCCCACGGGACCCTGAGAGACTCATACGCTCATACGTTCCAACCCGACTTAACCCAACGTGACCTAGAGGCTCACATTCTACCACCTGACGCTTTGTATTTCTACACGACTCAGAAGTTCACAGAACCTAAAATAACATAGTTCTAGAAGACTCACAAAGCCACATAATTTCCAGCATGCCTCAACTTCGCAACACCATGCATGAACGTGCCATCCGTCCCAACAGTGCCATGGGTGGTCACCTAACTTGACCCCAACATGGCCCTAGGAGACTCGTAAAAGCATAGAATCCTGCACAACGCAGTCGGACGAGATTCACCCAGACTCGCGACCCAACCCAACCCGACACCGAACTAAGAAATTCACAACACGATGTGACCAAACCTATTTCAACACCGCCCCCAGAAGAGCCTGCAAGCCTGGCACAACCCAATACAACACAAACCAATGAATCGCCCCCTCGACTCAGCATGACACGTTGGTATTCATCGCCACCTAAGGGGGTACCCACAGGAGCTACTAAACCACAGCTCAAGACCCGATTAGACTCAGCGTTCCCCAACTCATGACGACTTCGCCTAGCTCTTCCTAAACCCAACTCCCTCCCCTGGACCAGCCCCTCCACTCCCTCCCTCCCTCCCTCCCTTCAGGGAAGCATGAGATCCTGCAGACCTCAAATGTCCCTCACACCTCAGTGACCATGTGTTTCCCAGGGGGAGCCCAGAGTGGCGGTGGTAGCTCGGGCATCTCTCCATCCATCAACCCCCCATTGACCTTGCCCTCCAGTGGGCCACAGGGCTGCGTGTCCACATGGCTGTACATCCCAGCCTCTTCGCCCTCTGTCTCCCGGTGGTAAAAGTAGCTGAAGTTGGAGACGATGACAGGCACAGGCAAGGAAATGGTCAGCACACCGGCGATGGCGCACAGAGAGCCCACTATCTTGCCACCCACAGTGACGGGCGCCATGTCTCCGTAACCGACTGTGGTCATGGTGACCACCGCCCACCAGAAGGATTCGGGGATGCTGGAGAAATTGGAGTCGGCGCGGTCGACCTCGGCGAAGTAGACTGCGCTGGAGAAGAGGACCACGCCGATGAAGAGGAAGAAGATGAGGAGGCCCAGCTCGCGCATGGAGGCCCGCAATGTCTGGCCTAAGATTTGCAGGCCCTTTGAGTGCCGGGACAGCTTGAAGATGCGGAAGACGCGCACCAGGCGGATGACACGCAGGATGGCCAGGGACATGGCCGGCTGGCCCACCCCCCGCTGCCGCGCCAGCTCGGTGCCCAGCGCCACAAAGTAGGGCAGGATGGCCACGAAATCAATGAGGTTCATCACGTTCTTGAAGAAGGCCGCCTTGCTCGGGCAGGCCAACAGGCGCACCAGGAGCTCGAAAGAGAACCAACAGATGCACAGCGTCTCCACCACAAAGAACGGGTCATCGAAGGGGGTGCGAGGCAGCGGTCCAGGCACGGGGCTGGAGCCGTTGAGCCGACTGGGGACCTGCAGGAAGGAGGGGGCTCAGGGAGGACCACATCGGGGCTGGGACACGTTGGAACGACCGTATTTGTTGTTTAGATATCTAACTGCTTATCTACCAGTGGCCCCTCCTGTCATTGACTCTTCCCCAGGACCCCAGGGATCGTCCCTGGACGGCTGACTTTATGGTCCCTCATCCTTCACCAGCAGGGCCTCCTGAAATGATGCTCAATCTCTTCTCTCCCAAAGCTCGCCCCTAAGCATTGATTTTTCAGGTAAGCAGGGTCCCCGCCCTGGCCTCACTCCCTTGTGCCCTGCCCTCCCAAACCTAGCCCAGGCTACAATGGTTAAAGACCTTTCTGTCTGCCAGACCCTCACCGCCCTCAGCCCAACTGTCCTCGTGATGGATCCCCCCTACTCGAGTCCTCAGGACGCAACCCTCTGTCTCCAATCCCTTGGCTGTTTTCTTCAGGACCAACTCCCACCACCTCCAATCCATCCTAAGCATCGGTTCCTGCCAGGTGCATAGACCCCTGGTTTTTCAGTCTGTCCTCGGCCTCTCGGCTCTGATTTCTCAGTGGACCCGTACACCTGTCCTCCTGCCCTCAAGCCAGGTTTCTCACCTGCCTTAACTCTGCCTTCTGATAGGTCCTCCTAATCCGATCCTCAGGCCCCATCCCCATTAACTATACCTTCCCAACCCTCAGCTTTTAGTGGCGGAGTGCCCTGGTCAGGCCGCGTCTCTGGGTTGCCCACCGCTCAAAGCCCCCGGTCCCACCTATGATTGTCCGGGTCCTCCCACTGGACCTCAACGCCCCGCCCACCCGCGGCGAGACTCCACCTCCCCGAGAGGCCCCGCCTCCCATGGCCATTTAACCCGCATTTTGATTGGCCAGATCCCCATGGACCCCCTCCCAACCCCGCCCCCTCTCCGCTGGGGCCCCGCCCCCTCACCGGTCCAGCGGGGGCGGCCACCGCCGCGAGCCCCGGG